GTGCAGCAGTAGGTGCCATGCCCTTCTGCACAGCTGGTGCGGTGGACGACGTGCTGTATGTTGGGTGCACGTCGACGAGCTTTTGTCAGAGGTCCACTGGAGATCCCCGATGATCCTAGGGAAGGGTTACAGGCATGTTGGCCTGGGGGGTTATGGGCGCACTCACCCGCTACACAAACAAGCCCTTTTATCCCAGTGGTTAGTGGCTGTGATTCTGACATGGTATCAGAGCGAAGGTCTCGGGTTCGAATCCCGGTGTGTGCACCTCGGGCATCCCAGTGCGGGGGGGTGTCAGAGGTCCACTGGAGATCCCCGATGATCCTAGGGAAGGGTTACAGGCATGTTGGCCTGGGGGGTTATGGGCGCACTCACCCGCTACACAAACAAGCCCTTTTATCCCAGTGGTTAGTGGCTGGGATTCTGACACTTTTCTCCGAGAAGTAATGTCGTGTGGGCAGGGGGCCCAAGCGTGAACGCGGTAGGGGAGTGTCAACGGGAGTTGTGTTTGGCCCCATAATCGCTTGGGCAGAGCTGACCTCGTAGTCGGATGTGAGCGGGGATGCAGCCGACCTGCAGCAGTGGGCACGGGGTTCACCACAAGGGCGCCTGGCAGGAGGGCGCCGAGCAGGAGGACGCCGTTCTTGGCGTCTTCTCGGCGTCATGGGCGTCTGGACGGCGTCCTGAATGCCTGGGCGGCGTCCTGGAAGCATGGACGCCGACTTGGGCGTCTGCCCGACGTCCTGGGTGCCTGGACGCCGACCTGGGCGCCTGGACGGTGTCCCGGGCGCCTGGACGGTGTCCCGGTCGCCTGGACGGCGTCCTGGGCGCCTGGACGCCGAGCTGGGGATCCTGGACGCCGCCCTGGGCGTCTGGACGCCGACCTAGGCGGCTGGACGCCGACCTTGGCGTCCTGGTTGCCCGTTCGACCAAGTTACACGGGCGACGGAGCATCGCGAAGGTGCGCGACGGTCGCCCAGGTGTTCTTGGCAAAGCCGACCTCGGTGTGGTATCCCAAGGTCAACGGTGCAAACGTGGGCACGAGGTCAGGATGGCCACCGCGTTGTACACATGACAGGGCACAGGACGCCAACCAGCTGCGAGCACCTGCGAAGCGGGTGCGCTGTTGTCTTGCGGGTGTAACGATGTGCAGCCACCTTGCTGCAGCGTTGGCACGCCGTGCGCTTGCAACGTTGGCAAGCCGCTTCTTTGCAGCGTTGGAGCGGTACGAGCTTTGCAACGCTGGATCGCGGTCAACCGTACACGCTGGAGGTCGACCTGCATGCTTGCTAGCTCTGATGTAGTCAGTGTTGCCAATGTTGATGCAATTCATTCTGAACTATTATTGTGAACTTTTGCTAGTGGAACTCTTGCTGAATTTCCCCGTGACTGCGCAAGTAGTGTGAGCACGAGTTAACGACTAAGGAACGAACGCAGAGATCACCCCTACCCCGTGCCTTGCCTGTAGAAGCTCCCGTTGATACAGTTATCCCCGCATGCCAATGCTGCAGCAGAACGGCCTGCCAGCGTTTCACCGCAGCAGTCAGCCAGTACTGCAGACGCATGTGAACTTCTGCGCATGTGCGCACCTACCAAGTAGGTTCATGTAGATGGTCACACCGCCACACACATTGCACAGATGCAAGGAAGAACATGTGTCGACGATTTCGCCAGCCGTGCACCATCGAGCACATGATGCCATTTTGCGGTTCGACTCTGCAAAAGCCTCATAGGCGACATTCACCCACACGTCGGATTTCGCAGTCGAGCGACCTCCGTTGACCAACTCGGCGATGCTTCGTTGATCAGCATTCGCCGAGATGATCTCGCCGAGTAGAGCTCGTCTGTGAGGATCTGGTTCAGGAAAGATAAATCTATTGAATGATGCACCTGGGTACAAGGCGAGGCTATATATAGGCTCGACACAAAGGTAGTAACCCGGGTGTTACTAGAAGGTTCCGCGGGTCGCGAAGCGTCCCAAACGGGTCCTTCCCGAATTCGGTAGAAGGCAATTTGGTGGCAACCAAAAAGCCTAGAATTCGGTGCACTCAACCTAGTTCAGTGCCTATAACTATAATAACTATAGTAAAAGCAACGAACCTAGGAAATCTAGCAAAAGCAAGCAAAACAAAATAAAGCTAAGCTAGATAATGCAACATAAAGCAGAATCAAGCTAGTAAATCATAGCAAAGCCGTCGTACTCTCACACCGTCGACCAATGCTCCTCGTCGGGCCTCGTCGAGAAGCATCCTCTGTGGGCTCGTCGACTAGCATCATTTGCGGGCTCGTCGAGTAGCGTCCTCTGCGATCTCGTCGACCAGCGTCTTCTGCAAGCTCATCGTCCGTATCTTCTGCCGACGATGCTCGACCAATGCCTCTGCAGAACCTTGCCGACTAGACAAATTCGTTGACCTCTTTGAAGAATTATGCGGGGGGTCGATGTTGACTTCTACAGACGGTCGAGGTCGATTTCTGCACGCATTCGACATCTACTTCTGCAAGCATTCGACTGCAAAGTCGGCTTCGCCCATGGAAGGGCGGGGCCATTTTTCGTCAACAAGCGCTTCGACGGGACCTGGATTTCAAAGGCAGGCAAGGGGCGAAATGACGAGCATCGTCGGGTTTGCCTCAGAACCGTCGAGCCAAACTAATGCGCGCTCGCCACATCGGATTCTGGCTAAATTCAACGGAATGCAGTTCCGGGAGCCTTTTTTGGTAACTTATCGTGCCATTGATCTCACAATTTTAGACAGCCGTGTGGACTTTGACAGCATTCGTAAACAGTTACAATCAATAAGATTCCATGTCCTGCCAAAACCCCCGGACATTTGAGGCATGCCACATCAGCATTGACAATCATCTATTGTAAACCAACGCAATCGATCAATGGAGCTCCTATGTAGGGTGATGATATCGTCATATTCGACATCGGCCCAAGACTTTTCCCTTTGACACGTCAATAATCCTTGAAGTATCCAAACTTACTCATGCATGTTACTTTGGCGCGATACATGAAAATACGTGTCTTTTGTCCAATCAGATCTGCCATACTTGACTGCCTGAAATCCGGAGATTCTTTGTGATTTCAAACATAGTCCACATGACTGCCCGAAATCCTGAGAGAGGGCGGGAAAAGAGGCAAACAAGGGGGCACGGTAACTAGGTCAATGGAATTGAGACGAGATCCCACATGGCGAGCACGGAGTAATCTGGGTTAATGATTTTGAGGAGAACACGATTTTCGACGATGCGCGTCATTTCGCCCAGGAAAGAAGTGGGGTTTGTGCGGTTTGGACGGTGGACTCACTGGACGGTGCCACCATCAGGACGCGTTCCCTGAAACGGATCGATCCGCTGGAAGGTCGGTAGCTTGCTGGATAGCACTGTAGCCTCGTAATCAACAAGGCCTCATCTTCGCTTAGGGTTGCGTATGTACAGTAGATTTTTGGCCACGATTATCTCACCTTCCCAATCCCGATCGATATGGCAATGCGGCCATATCAATCTTGAGATTGGAGAACGCAGTGTGGAATTTTGCGCCAAGAGTGACAAGCACGATCGATCGCCTTCGCTTCTCGTCGCATAGTCGTTGCGCGATCGCATACATGGGGATGGCACATCGCTACCAAGCCTGGACTCGAAATGACGGTCGGTGAGATCGGCCGATCGTCGGCTGAACCGCTTCAGGGAACGTGTCCTCAGGCGAGTTATGCCTAGGTTGCGACGGGTCGGGGTTGAACCCTCCAAAGGCTCAAGAGAGACGAGTGTTATGGCCAACAACTACGAGCATGACCCGCATTCCGCTCGACCAAGAGAAATCACACAAAGCAGAATCTCCTACTAGAAAGCACCGTAGTATTCATCACGGTCGTCCTTTGCGAAATCTAGGATACAAGCATCGTAGGCCTGCGCGCGATCTCGCCAGTGCACGTGGCTCGTATGTCGGCAATCGTGGCGGCTCGAAGGAACACGCCGCATCGACAGAAAGGAATAGTACCCTTTGCGGCGAACCAGAGAGCGAGGAGAGGAGGGCCGTCATAAGCCTACGCTGTAGACTTCGCCATCATAATCAGGTTAGGGAGCACGCGGTTAAACAGACACGCTTTCGGCGTCACTACATGCTAACGATCGCGGCGAAACCGACAGGGCTGGGCATACCGTCGCGGCGCCTACCGCGCGACCCCGAACGCGCACCGCCCGCGACTTTGTGGGGCATCGGGACGGCTCGAAAAGAGGGTGACCTGAATAGTAGCGCTCTCTCTTCTGTGTTATGATGGACGGCGGCGCTTTAGTTCAGAGAAGACAGGGAACGCATAGCGTGTCAGCACGTGTCGCCGCGTGTGCTCGTGGTGCCATTCTTCCTGCCTCATGATTTCAAACCCCTTCCCGCTCCATTTATTTCAAACCCCGCGTGTGCTCGCGGTCGCTCTTGTTCCCCCGCCATCATAAAATGTCGGAGCGGCAGCACTCCGCGCGAGCATTCCTCCTCCTTCTCCCCCATCCTCCGCTTCTCCCCCCTCTTCCCCCTCTTCCCCATCCTCCTGCCCCGCCACGGCATGTGCTGTTTCTGTCGGCCCTGCCGTGGGCCGCAACTGTCTGTCCCGCTCAAACGTCACGCACGATTTCTCCCAAATCATAAAGTCCTCCCCTCCCCTCCTCCCCCATCTGCTCCGCATCACGCTCGCCAACCTTGCATGGTGGGTCATGATGAGCCATGGCACTGAGATTCATTCTCACTGTGTCCCCATGACACTGCTGTGCCCCCATGTGCCCCCCTGTGCCCCCCTGTGCCCCTGTGCCCCCCTGTGCCCCTGTGCCCCCCTGTGCCCCCATGTGCCCCCCTGTGCCCCCCTGTGCCCCCCTGTGCCCCCCTGTGCCCCCCTGTCCCCCCTGTGCCCCCATGTGCCCCCCATGTGCCCCCCTGTGCCCCCCTGTGCCCCCCTGTGCCCCCCTGTGCCCCCCTGTGCCCCCCTGTGCCCCCATGCACTTCCCCCGCGGTGCAGGGAGCACTCCCAGCGCACGGCATGCGCCGTGTGCTGCATCCCACATGGAGGCGGCGCCGCGTGCTGCTGCTGCCGCTGCTGGCAGTGCTGTGTGCGTGCGGGGGCGTGTCCACCCAGTGGATACAGGAATCCCAGAGTATGTTCATGCATGCTGCCACAGCCTCCGCCCTGCCTGTCGCTGCTGTTCACACTCGCACTGAGTGCTATCATTTCTTGTCGCGGGGAAAATGGGGAAACTCAGTTGGGCGCAATCTGACTGTTCCTCTACATTCAAAGTTGTTTGGGATCCTGCGACGGATTTTCTCGGTGTGGCTGGGACGTCTGCACGTGCTTTCAGTCAGTGCTGGTGTCTTAACTTCTCCCTGTCAACTTCTCCTCTCCTCGCATTGCTGTCTGCACTCTCCTCCTTGGGCTTGTACTCTTGACGTCTCATGTCCGGATGAGAGACTAGTTGATTCTTGAGAACTTTCAACACTTAACTCCTCTCTTTGGACTGGATTCGATCTGATTTTTCTTCTTCTAAGTCCGCCGTTTCCCTGGCTGGTCTCTTGCATGGCCGTTATCATTCGCCATTCCTCCCTTCTCTTCCCCCGTCCACTGACCCCACACGCACTGTCTCTCTCACTCCATCCAATCTCCCCCACTCGCGCATGCACGCCACCCTCTGGCCGCACTCACATGCAGAGGCGGTGCTGAAGGCTCTGCTGGACGAGTGGGACACGTTCCCTCTCAGCAACTCGTGGGTCACGGGGACCATGTGCTCGCAGATGCTGGGCATTGCATGCACCTCCGATGGCTTCATCACCAAACTGTGAGCCCTCTCTCACCGCACACGCGCCTGCTTGCTGTAGTCTGTCTCCCGCGCTGCACAGATGCAGGCAGAGGCAGGCCCTGGCAGACCTGGATATGCACGCATGGTGTGGCAGGAGTTGGATTCCTTCACAACCCACTAGGGGTTGTTGTCAGGGCAGGGCATGTGCTCCAGCTGAGGTAGTACTGGTGCATGCAGTGACAGTACTGCCACAGCCAGTCTGCCACATGCAGTGATGGATGGTACCACGAGGCCGTGTCGTGTAGGAGCCAGCAAGTCAAGGAGCCGGCCCTGGCTTGCTGTCCAGTTATGCCCAGCTGTGATCGCCACTCACCTGCCCACGAGCTGCCCACGAGCTGCCCACGACCTGCCCACGACCTGCCCACGAGCTGGCTGCGAGCTGGCTGCGAGCTGGCTGGTGGAATGAGCTGGGGTAGCATAACTGTCCCTTGGTCCGCTAACTATAGGAGCCGGGTTGGTCGAACCGTGGCGCAACCTGGGCACTTGCTCACGTCTAGTACCATCCTGCTTAATCATGCTGGTAACATCCTTGTCTGGGTGTGCATCCCTCCCACTCAGGCCCCACTCCCCCCTTGTCGCTCACCTCTTTCCTTATTGTCGTGCCTGTGGTGCCATCAGGCAACTCGTCTACCAGCCTCTGGGGAAGTCCATTCCCGATGCGCTGAGCGGCCTGCAGTCCCTCAACTACCTGTGAGCCCACTCACGTGCTCATTCCCTCATCGCACACACCCTCGCAAAATCTCATTCCCCAGTGTCCCTTGCTTCCCATTCCCATCCCAGATTTTCTCCGACCACGCACCCGTTTCCCCCTGACTCTGCCTGTGCCTGCCCGTGCCCATGACTTTGGCTGTGGTGATTGGTGGATGCGGCGTTCTCTATGCAGTGTTCTCTTTGGGTGCCAGCTGACCGGTTCGCTGCCCTCCGCCCTCTTCACGTTGCGAAGCCTCACATATATGTAAGATTGGCATCGCTGCTTATCTTGCTTGCACCGATGCTGTGCATTAGGGCTGTTTTGATGTGAACGAGGCTCGAGCAGTGAGGTGCAGGACCAATGACGGGCCTTGGTGGAACCAGTTGTGAGGCTTATGGTCCAACGGCCATCCCTCATTTACTTGGTGGAATAGACATCCTGCTGGGGTAACTAGTTAGACTGGCCAATTGAGTCGAGTCAGCTATCTTTCTCTCTCTTAAATGGTCCTTATATTGATATAATTTATGTTGTTACAACCGAAAAGGCAGGCAAGATTTTCTTAGAATACTTCCCTACTGGAATTCCAAACCCACCTCCAGGGTTGCGAAGCAATCCCCTAGGAACAGGGCCCCGTCTGGACCCCACACCGGCGGGTCTTCAAACTGGACAGCCATGTTGAGATTGGTGAGGTAGCTCACCGCGCCCCCCCCTTGCAAGGCGACTGCCCAGCGCTGGCGGAACTGATGGAGCATTGCGCGGCCTGGTATGTCGAGGGGTGGGCGTTGAAGTGCCGCCTCGCTGCCGTTCCTGCCACCTGCTGGAGGAGTGGCGGAACCTCCTCACGCCGGCAGCCGTAGGTCTCCACTGCAAGTGGAAAGAGCCCCGTTCCTGTGTGGTCCAGATTCTTGGCGGCCATCTCTCTTGCTGCCCATCCTCGACCCTTTGTTGCGTCCTTGTCGTGTTGCGTGTGCTGATGGGGTTGGTGGTGGTTACCTGACAAGTCTAGACTGCTTCCATGGTACGGTCTGGTATGGCGAGGTCAGCCTTGCGGTCGTCCACCGGACAGAATGCCGTGGCTTCTTTTTGCACAATGTGACCCGCGTCCCGCTCCATGCAAATGCATGTTGGTCGTTGTGAGTGTTGGTCCATCCATGCCCCGTGCCGCAGTGAACAAGGTGATGCGGTAGCCGCTTGTGCAGTATTTCGGTCGTGTCGTGGCAGTCACAGCGGCTTGGTACGGGCAAGGGCAGCCCAGGCCGAAATTGCAGGGCCATGGCAAAGTGCTCTGGGTTGAGGCGGAGGGAGGGCATGTAGGGGATGGCTAGCAACCAATCCCTGCACCATATCCCAAGAGTAATAGCAGCCGTTGAATGTGGCCTGCTAGAGAGTTCACCTCGTTGCGTTTGGATGCGGTAAACTGCTCAGCGTAATGGTTGCCCTGGATGAGAAGGAACATGCAGTGTTGAAGGCGGCCTGTTGGGGCTGACCTCTCTATCGTGAGCAGCCCCTTCGCCTCCTGACTCGACGCCTCCTCACAGTCACAAAGCCAGAGCTGCAGCGGGCTCGTGTCAGCAGCTGCTGGTTGTGGGAGAGCGTCGGTGAGGGTGGGTCCAGCAAGCCCAGGAGGCGAGGCCAGGAGTGCATGCGCCTGCACGTAGTTTGCGAGGTGGCTGTATCGGCCCTCCACGGCCCCGTCTGTCAGCCCTATCCCTCCCAAGGATAGGGAAGTGAAGCCTGGGCCCATACCCGGTTCTCCTTCACTTTTCCCGTTGGGTGACGGACTCTGCATGCGTCAAGGAGGTTGTGCAGCTGTGCTAATCCCCAGCGGGACCATTCAGCTTGAGGTAGTAGGCAGAGTGGCGTGGTGCGTTCTAGGTAAGATATCCTCCGTGATACGCACTTTGTTAGCAGCAGAGAAACCAGCTGGGGTCCTTCTTGGCAATAAGGGGTAGGGGCGAGGACTTAACCCCCAACTGACCACAGAGGAATGCAGCCGCTCCTTCCGCTAGGCCAACATGGCTGCCCAAGGCGGGAAGCCCCTCCGTACAGAAGGGTACCCCAGCAAGTAGGATGTTGTCGTCTGCCCCTCTTGCAGACTTGCAGACTTGCATTACACGCCGAGCACTTCCCTTGGTTGTGATTCAGGCCCACGCGCCGCAGGCTGGCGGTGAAGTTGTTGACTTTACCCCGAACAGTCCTCTGCTCTCCTTAGGAATGTCGCGTCGTCAGCGCAGTGCAGGGTTTGAGCGCTGTTCTGCGTGCCGGGAACCCTGCCGCTGCCGTCGGTGCAGCCCACAGCCTCGTTAGTGGTGTGCCGGTTGTGGCGGACCATGAGCGGCATTCTTACCGCTCTGGGGGCGGAGGACGGCCCGCTGTCTATCTTTGCCATTGTTGTATCTCTTCCGTTGCCACTTGATTGTCGTGGTATGGTGCGCGCGGCCGAAGGCCGCTGGCGCGAGCGCCGAATTTCTCAAATCGACTCGAATCGGCTCAACTCATGGTCATGTATAGAACCAGTTTCACCCATTGTGATGACAAGAGAGGGTAAGGTGAACATCTGGTAATTAGAACATTTACCAGCAGGATCCGGACGGACAGTATCAGCTCTGGTTACTCTTTTGCACAATAGCTGTTGGTATCTCTTGCTGTGTGCAATGCCCTCTTTTGAAAGCTCTTACTCTTGTTCGTCCCTCCCGGTTGTGTGCGTCCTCTCCTCCTGCTGCAGGGACCTTGGTGGCAACAGCCTCTCTGGCTCTATCCCTGCTGACATCAGCAATCTCAGCAACTTGCAATCCCTGTGAGCCGCCCATTGCAACGTGGTTGAGCCCGTGGTTTGTTGCCTCTCATATGGCCATCCACAGCACACCACACTGCTTTTGATGCATGCAGGGGGAAGCTGGCGACCTGGCGTGCATTTACTCTGCATTCGTGCACACATGTGTGTATGTCGGCTGCAAGCAGGCTGTAATGCAGGCTGCTGCAATGCAGGTTCCCAGCTTGTGTGCTCATGCTTGCCCTCTCAACTCAGCGTTACTACCTCTAGATCCTCCCTGCTAATGCCTTTAGCAAAAAAGACTGTTTGTCCCATGCAGGAATTCCAGCACTGCCATGGGTTTATCATAAACCGTGTATGTGCCTTGTGTTACACTCTATGCAGTACTCTGGGAGAGAATTCTTTTGAGGGCCCGCTGCCTACGGAAATGTCATCTCTAAAGGAGCTCCAAGCCCTGTGAGTCGCATCGCACTGCTGCTGCTGCTGCTGCTGCTGCTGCTGCTGCTAATGCTATGCCACTATCATTTCCTACCGTTCCCTTCTATTCCATGTGCAGCATCGTCCCCATGGGCTGTGCGTTGTTATTTTTCGCTATTCAAGTGACCAGGTGGGAGCACCACATGCGTGTGAATATCATTGTATTGTGTGCTTCCGTTCAGGAGGCTGAGCCACAACACCCTTTCGGGCCCTCTTCCACCCTTCCTCGCCACATTCACTAACCTTGACACATTGTGAGCAGTGAGCTTCATGTCCTGCTGTGCCACTACCACGCAGCTTGTCTTGCCTTCTTTCCTCACCTGCTGCATTCGTTCCTTCGCTTCCAGGGGAATCCTTGTTGAGAAGCGAGACCATTCACTTGATAATTCAAGCCCTCATGTCATGCGCACGTGCCCACCCAGTGCACCCCACCCAACCGTCCTCATTCCCCTCTCTATTGCCTCATACCCATCAACTGTGCTTCCCTGCCTCTCAAGGACCCTGGACTTCAACAGTTTCACGGGCTCGCTGCCTGAGGGCCTGGGCCAGCTGCGGAGACTCACACGCCTGTGAGACTCCCCTCCCCTTAGGCCTGCCGCCCGCCTGCCCCACGCCTCTGTCTAGGAAGGCAAATGGGAAGTCTCACATTCTCATTTGTTTGTTTTTTTATTCCATCATGTCCTCGTGCCTTCTATCCATCTCGCCCTGGTGCATGCACGTTTGCCCTGGTGCATGCACGTTTGCCCTGGTGCATGCACGTTTGCCCTGGTGCATGCACGTTTGCCCTGGTGCATGCACGTTTTCCCTGGTGCATGCACGTTTGCCTTGGTGCATGCACGTGCGGTGCGGGTGCCATGTCAGTGAGGGAGGGTGGGGGGGACAGCATCTGTAGCGTAGCGCAGTAACGGGTGGGCCATCACTGTCACTGCAATACCGCAGGCACCTGGAGTACAACCGACTAGAGGGCAGCATCGTGTCCTCCCTGGGAGCCCTCACTGACCTGCGCTACCTGTGAGCTAGAAAAGGGCACGGCAGGTGCATTGCGTAGCAGGGTGCATTGCAAGGCAGGGTGCATTGCAAGGCGGGGTGCATTGCATGGTTCTTTTGTTATTCCTATCCATCCTCCAATTCTTTTCAAAAGTGGCTGTGGTTGTTCATGTGTGACCATTCTTGAGTGGTTGTTTCATGTGTCTATTTCCTCTGGCATGGCACTAGACATGATATGTGTGTGTGTGTGTGTGTGTGTGTGTGTGTGTGTCTGTGTGCGCGCGCGTGCGTGGGTGTGTGAGTCGGTGCGTGGGTGCTTGTGTGTGTGCGTGTGTGCAGGATACTGGGTGTGAATGACTTCACTGGCACCATCCCATCATCACTGGGCAACCTCAAGAACCTCGAGGCACTGTGAGCCATCGTTACTGCCTTCCACTTCCCCTTCCTTGCCAACCCCTTGCAAGCCTCGATTGTTCCCCATTGACCTTCTTCATCCCGCTACCTTGCATGAAGGGGGTGCGTAAGGCTTGTGTGGATTGAATGGTATCATTGTTGTTGTGGCCATGCCCCCCCCTCCCCTCCACCGACCCTCTCCTCCCTTCACGCACCTCTTCTCGGTGCTGTCATGGCCGCAGTGCCTTGCGTGACCTGCGCCTGCACGGCCTGCTGCCGCCGTCGCTCACCTCTCTGCAAAAGCTCTGGCACTTGTAAGCCATGCGTGCCTGTCCGTATATAAATTCGTCCACCTGTGATTGGCAGCTCGTTTCGATTTCGCGTGGTCGTGCTGAGAAGTTTCGATTGCAAGCATGGATGGGCATGTTGTCATGTGTCACATGATGTGCTGTGTGTGGTTCAACACAACAGGAAAAAAGTCACTATTCAATGCTTTCACTCACAAGGCAAACCACGTTCAATCCAGACTGGAAGTCTCACCAAACTAAGCACTCCGGACTTTCTGACTGTCTAACCACATTTTGGTTGCACTTTCAAGCGACACACTAATACGAAGTAACAGGAATAGGCAGGTTCGTTCCTTTTTCCTGCCAATGGCTTGCTGCCTCTTTCTTTGTGTAGCTCCTTCAGCTGGCACCAAGCCCACCCCTGCCTTGCATGTGCGCTGGGTGGCAGGGAGCTGTCATTTATGTATCTGTCGGGACACGTGGCACCCATCGTGGCTCCTATGAAGAAGCTCAAGAACCTGTACGCACGACTTTCTCTAACGTCATCGCTGCATTTTTGTCCGGGATTTTGGTGCTGTGCTGTATGGGGTGCACTGGGAATCGTCATCTTATATCTGCCCTCGTTACTTTTTCCATCCCCGTCTTTCAGATTGCTGAGTTTCAACCAGTTCACAGGAGATGTGCCCATACCAGCCTCCCCAGCCCTGGCATCTGTCAACATTCAGAGCAACTACTTCACCTCCGCGCCCATCCGCCCTAAGAACTGCTCTGCTGTCAGCCTCAGGCTCTTTGACAACTGCCTGCCCACCCTGCTTTGTGGCTCGAGGCAGCAGCAGAGGAGCAACGCGAGTTGTGCTGCGTTCTGTGGGCTGGGGCAGGGCGAGGTGCTGTGCAGTGGGCATGGGTACTGCTTCATGAATGACAGTAGCATCACGAGCGAGTGTGTGTGCGACGCGCACTACTCCACTCGCAATGACCCCCACACGTGCACATACACGAGTAAGTAAGAAGTCTTGGATTGAATTGCCATATGCTTTTCCCCTCTGGTTTCTTCTTGTTCATTTTTTTTTTCCCTAAACCACGATGTCCATCCATCATCTCTCCCCCCTTCTCCAGTTGACCCCGTGCTGGCCTCCTCAGCCGCCACCCCCATGGTGCTGAGTGGCTCGGCGCTGACCTCTGCTGATGGAGCGCTGCTGCTGACCCCCAAGGCCAACGCCACCTGGGGCACGGCCTTCACAGCCGCGCCTCTCCCCCTCTTCTCCTACTTCAACACCAAGGCCACATGCGGTTACCAGTTCGCCTTCAACGCATCCCTTGCCTTCTCTCTCGACCCGGAAGCGGAGGCGGGCGGGGATGGGCTCGTGTTTGTCGTCACTGCCGCGCTGCCGGACCGACAAGGAGGGGTGGGGAAGCGGAGTGTGGCGGTGGAGTTTGACTCGGTGCTGAGTGTGAAGCACAGCGACCCCAACGACAACCACGTGGGCGTCAATGTGGGCGGCTCACCTGTGTCCCTCGCCTCTGCCACGGCCCCTCTCATCCTCAACGACGCCCACACCAAGCACGCCTGGATCCACTACGACCCCACCAGCGGCGGCACCCTCCGAGTCTTCCTCTCCTCCGACCCCCAGCAGCCCCCCACCCCCTTGTTGCGCGCTCGAGTGTCGCTCTGCTCCATCCTGCAGCCCAAGGCGTCCGCTGCTGCCTTCTACGTCGGCTTCACAGCTTCGTCCACCGCCGGCCCACAAGCACACTCCGTCCTCAACTGGACCTTCACTGCAGGTCTGTGCCTCTCATGCTCTCAGCTATGTGCCTCTCATGCTCTCAGCTTTGTGCCGTGCCTCACAGGTTTGTGCTTTTCAGGTAGGCATAAGCAAAGGGCGAACAAATTAGAGCATATTTCAAACTCGAATCGAACATGCTTGGTGTCAATTGAACACTTTTTGCGAGATAATTGTTGAGAGTTTTCCACCAAGAGGTCGAACACTCGGTTGTGAAACGACAAAGAGGAAGCTGTTCGGCTCGAAAACGAATGTGTTCGATTCGAGCAGTCATTTTGTGACTTCAGAAAATGGATTGGTGAACTTGAGAGGCACAATAGGAAGAAAATATTTATCGCGAGAAGATGGTACAAGTCTAAGCGAATAGAGTAAGGTCCTTGTCCAAGGATAACTTCTAGTGAAGTAGGAAGCCACATGTATGTGGTTGAACTCTTGAGACTAACTGCTGCACCGCAAAGCTGAGGGTAAGGCTAGCCAACATTGCCAAGCTAGCAAGTGAGGCCTCATGTTGCACATGGGGGACAAGTTGGAACAACAGCCCACATGACAGCATATGACTCACCATAGGGGTTAATAAAGAGAGTATGGGATGAGTGGATAGGTAGCAATGCCAAGTGTGACCACACTTCACTGTGGTGGAGTGTGGTGGTGTGTGGACGTATCATGTTGAGCATAATGAGAAGGGAAAGTGCAGCTGCTGCGAGTTGAAGCGGCGACCTCCAAGACCTAAGGTGAGAATCTACCCACGGGGAAATACTTGCTGCACAATAGCTACTCGCGTCTTGGTTGGCTCGATTAAACTGACCGATGCAACGCTTTTGTCCCATTGGTTGGGAAATTATGAAAAAAACAAATATCCACCAACTTTTTACAAACTTCCTATGCCTCTTAAGGTACGCAAAATGAGTTGTGAGCATTCGTTATAGCACTTAATTTTGCGACCACAGCCACTAATCTCGATTATGTATAAGCAAGGTTAAAAAGATTGTTTTCGTATTACAGTCCGTTTATATTATAACGGTCATTTTTAAAACCTTGGGTATGAGGCTATATGTTGTGAGCACATGTTTTATGTGTAAGGCTTAGCTAGACATGATCAATCGAAGCGAGTTTTAGCTCGACTCGCCGGCTCGACTCGACTTTAGGCCGAGTCGAGTCAGTTACTTTAATTTCCTGACTCGAGTAGAGTCGAGTCAGGTCGAATTGAGGAGAAATCTCGATGCATCGCCCGACTCGACTTTGGACAGTTTGGTGAGCCACGACTCGGCTGGCTCGATTCGAGCTGGGCTGACTCGAGGGTCACCAATTTTATCCACCTGGATTCCCCTTGTCAATTCCCCCTCCTTTCCTCATGCAATTTCTGTCAACGGGAGTTGGGTGTTGGCCCCGTCCTCGCTTGGGCGGAGCCGACTTCGTGGTCGGGTGTAGGGTGCAGCCGACCTGCAGCAGTGGGCGAGTTGGTCGACGAGGTTGGTCGACCTGCACGGGGAGCCACTGCATGGGCGCCGACTTCAGGAGGGCGCCAACTTCGGCTGGTCGACCTGGGAAGTCGACCAGCCCTTCTGGTCGACCTGGGACGTCGACCAGACCTTCTGGTCGACCTGGGACGTCGACCAGACCTCCTGGTCGACCTGGGAAGTCGGCCACCCCTTCTAGTCGACCTGGGACGTCGACCAGACCTTCTGGTCGACCAGGAGTGACGTCGACTTGGAGCTGGTCGACCAGGGAATAGTGGTCGACCTGGGGAGGTCGACTGGAGGTGGCCGTCGACTTGGGAGGTCGACCGGCACGTACCAGAGGCAGTGGTCGACCTGGGAGGTCGACCGGAAGTGGTCGTCGACCTGGGTGGTCGACGGGCACGCACTGGAGCCTCTGGTCGACCTGGTTGCCCGGTCGACCAAGTTACCTGGGTGACGAGGTGCTGCGAAGGCTTGCGAAGGTCGCCCAGGTGGTTTTGGCGAGGACGACCTCGGTGATGGTATCCCGAGGTCGACGTGGTGCATCAGATGCAGTCGTCAGCACGAGGTGGACTTGGTGTGTGCGCTGTGCAGGTGACGAAGCAGTGCGCGCCAATCATCTACGAGCACCTGCGAAGCGGGTGCGATGCTGGACTGCAGGAGCAACGCTGGCACGCCGTCGACTTGCGCTGTTGTCTCGCCGTCGACCTGCAGCGTTGGCAAGCCGCGTCCCTGCACTGCTGGAGCGCGGTCGACCAAGTCGTGCTGGCACGCGGTCGACCGTGCTGCGCTGGCAGTCGACCTGCTTGCATCCTAGCTCTGATGTAGTCTTGCCTAGCCAACTTCATTGTATCATTGTTGTCTACTTCCTCTAGTGAAACTCTTGCCAATTTGCCTTGTGAACTAGCAAGCAGTGTGTGCACTAGGAAAACGACTAAGGACCGAGGAACGCAGAGATCACACGAGCACCCGTGCCTAGCCCGCAGCCTAGCTCCCGTTGTAGTAGTTATCTCCGCATGGTGCGGTGAGCGTGGACGGCACAACGACTTACCTTTTCAGTCTTGTCGACTTAGTAGGCACCTTACCTAAGTTGTTCGTAGGCCGGCAGCTGTGCGATAGTCACTATGGTAGGAGCCGTAGGTGACACGGGGGTGGTGGACACCCTGGAGGCACGGCTGGAAAACGCGAGGAGGAAGCACGAGGCCAACGAGTATGGCGACCTGCCGTGGGCGGTCGTTGAGGCTGGCATCCGTTCCTTGTGGGCGACGGAGCACCCTTCTCGGCCTGCTTCTCCTCGACCGGTGAACACCGAGGGCGGCGTCGACGTGGGTGTCAACGCCGGGGGCGACCAAGTCGGCAGCAGTGCGGGAGGCACGTCGAGGCAGCGTGGTGTGATTCACGCCGATGAAGTCGGCGGCGTTCAAGCGCGAGGGATGCGGTCGACCTCGGCTGCGGGCACCTCGCAGGGCGACGTCGGAGGTCGACGAAGCGGGTTGACGCCGATGTCGGCGTCCCAGGTGACGGCGGGCGGAATTGCGCCGAGCTACGGCTACTTCAAGTTCACGCCGGATAGGATCTCGGTGACTCCCCCGCTGGTCGGTCGACCCGACATACTCACCTGGAAGGAGGCCATCGAGCCCCAGCTGGAGATGGCCGGGCTGATCAGCTTCGCTCGAGGTACCGTGGCGACGCCGAGCGACCCCGACTTGCGAGCGGAGTTCCGCGCTGTGCAGCTGTTGACCTTCACGGTCATCTCACGGTGCTGCTCGCCGGGCGTGCAAATCGCCTTGAAGTGGTGCCGGGAGTACCTCGACGCCGGCCACCAGGCGTGGCACTTCATCGAGTCGACCTGCCAAGTTACCGACGACTTGTTCATCGCCCAACTGGAGGGGCAGCTGACACACCTGCGTATGGGCGACCAGGAGACGGCGACCGACTACTGCAACTGGGCCCGACGAATTCTCGCCACCATTAGGATGGCCGGTGCGGAGTACTCGACGGCGTCGTACATCACCCATGTCATGCAGGGACTTCCGAGCAGCTACAACCTGCTGAAGCGGCTGTCGATGGCGCCGAGCACGAGGGCGACGCTCAACAAGGACACGTTGACCTCGTACATCCTGCAGGACGAGGCGATGCAGGAGGCCGAGCGATCCCAAGAGCTCTTGGCGCAGGTGAACTACGTCGCCCCGGCGAAGCAAGGAGGCCGACCAGGGCAGCGCGGACAGTCAGGCGGCGGTGGTAGCAGTGGCTCGAAGTCGACCAAGGAAGTCGACAAGAAGAAGTCGACCAAGGACAACGGCCGAGGAGGAGGAAGTCGACGTCGGGAGTGCTGGCTGTGCGGCGACCCCGACCACCTCTCCTTCGAGTGCCCCGACCGCAGTGACTCGGACGACGACGACAAGGGAGGCCGCGGGAGGTCTGGCAGTCGTCGACCTCGTCGAGGAGGAAGTCAGCCGCGCAAGGAGAAGCAGTCGACCAAGTCGTCGACCTCGGCGAAGGACGCCGACTCCTGGTCGGCGGCAAGGGGCCGGGCGACAAGTCGGCGTCGTGCTCTCTGGTCGGCGTCGTGGAGCCGACCGTCTCGCTGGCGCCGGAGGCCGGCGAGGACTTCCAGGCGGTGGCGGCAGCTGTGCAGGCTAACCCGGCGGTGGTCCTGCTCGACAGCGGCTGCTCCCACCACCTGATGGGGACCAAGGACGCCTTCGTCGACCTGGGGCCGAGCGGCGACGTGAAGCACGTGCGTGGCTTCAATGGGGCGCTGCAAGACGTCCAGGGCCGGGGCACGGTCGCCTTGCAAGGCGAGGCCGGGAAGCAGGTTCTCATCCCCGACGTGTTGTACGTCCCGGGTGTGCGGGCCAACCTGTTGTCGTCCGGCCAGCTGAAGGAGCATGGCGTGAAGTTTCGGGAGGACGGCGACGGGATGCTGCTCGTCTCGTCAGCAGGAGAGGTGCTTGGTCGGGCGACGTACTCCGGGCGAGTCCTCTGCACCGACCTGCGTCCCTGCTCCACGAGGTCGGCGTCGCCCACGCCGGAGGTTGTGGCCCTGCGGGCGATCGTCTCCAAGACGAAGTCGACGCCGGACAGGATGCATGCTCGGCTTGCGCACGTCGGCATGGACACCATCAGGAGCTCGGCAAAGAACGAGGTCGCCATTGGGCTGGACCTCAAGTCGGCGACGGGCGCCGACTCACCATGTGTCTCGTGCGTCGGCGGGAAGCTGGCGCGGCACACCTTCCCCGACCAAGGCTCCGACGCCGCCGACGTGCTAGCCGTCGTTCACATCGACTTGTGCGGGCCATTCCGGGTGGCTGCCAAGGATGGCAGCCTGTACTTCTTGCTGCTGAAGGACCGTAAGTCCCGCTACGTGTGGGTGAGGCCGGTCGCCAAGAAGTCGGATGTGCTGCTGGAGTTCCAGAAGTGGCTGGTGCTGGTGGAGAGGCAGACGAAGAAGTCGGTGCTGATGTTGCAATCGGACCGGGGCGGGGAGTTCCTCGGGAAGCAGTTCACCGACTTCGTGGATGGAAAGGGGATCGTCCACGACCTGACCTGCCCGTACACTCCGCAGCAGAACGGCATGGCGGAGCGGGAGATGCGGACGGTGGTGGAGTCGGTGCGGACGATGCTGCTGCACATGGGCGTGCAGCACCACTGGTGGCACCTCGCTCTGCGGCAGGCCGTCTGGATCCGCAACTGCCTGGAGCGGTCGGCGACGCCGGGGACGACGCCGTACCAGCTGCTGACCGGGACGAAGCCCGA